CCATATATCTATAACAAATTTAATTCATTTATCTGAATTTTTAATGGTTTTTTATCGTTTTTCTTACGCATCGTTTATCATGTTTCTTTGGTTTCAATTTATATTTAATGATGTTTTTAAAGAAAACCACAGCCCATTTTATGGTCTGTCACATGTTGTAACACTTATCATGATTATGAATATGATATAAACAATTGCAGTATTTAGGTTAACATTATACGACAATTCACTCATTTTGATACATCAATAAAAAAGATGAACAATAAATTCCCCCTCCACGTAAAATTATTTAGCACTCATTTTTTAAATAGTTTCCTGTTTATCGACAATTATCGACAATAGTAACATAAACCATAAAGCTATGACCATAATGATATTTCAAAAACTCATTTTTGGTGCAAGATCTAGTCTTTTCAATCCTTTTCCAATGTCAACTAAACTTACCATAAAGCATTATTGGGGTAAAAATTATTCAAAATGGGTCATTAGAAATCTTTTTTTTAAATATTACGCTCGACAAAGTTTAATTGATAAGAAAGCTTCCTGCTAAATGCCTTAGAAGCATGGCTCCCAAAGGTCATTGCTGTGAGAAATAAGGTCAAATTGAAATTTGGGGGGAAAAGAAAAACGTTAAGCAACTCGAGAGATACAGGACTATGTTCATTCTCGCAAGCCAGAGGTGTTAAGGTCTTCAATCCCTAATAGGAACAAATTCAATGAAATGAAATTGAAAACATAACAGATATGTAGGCATTGAATACTCAGTTTATTTTGACATACTTCCCATTCATTACTTTAAGTATGTTTAGTGGGATGTGTCCTCATTTATGACCTTGAATTTTGGTTAAAGTTATCTCCCCTTTTTTAATTAATAAAAAAATCAATTTAAAAATTTAGCTGGTAAAAAAATTATTTTCAATTATCATTCTATTATTAATGTTTCAATGCATCTTTCCAGAGCAGGATTTATTGATATTCATATTAATTGAATTTTTATTTTGAAAAAAACGCTTCTCCCCATATACTTCAATGCAATCTTTGTTAATTAACTGCTGTAGATCACTATATTTTCGCGACACCTTATTTTCGCGAGATAGTCATTCACTCTTTATTAGCGAGACATAATTTTCACGAAATGTGGTTATTCTTCTATATAATCTTAAGGAATACTATTATACGTGAGAATGAAATTTTCGCGAGCTCACTGTCTCGCGTAATTACGCGAAAATAAAGTTCTCGCGAATAAAAAGTGATTTACAGTACTGCTTAATTAATGAGATTTTTAAAAATTTCTCGTGGGCAATCATTTTCCACTATAAAATGCTTTAATATAATCTCAGAGTATTTTGTACTTGACAGACATTTAAGGGTAGAGAATTAGGGATCGAAATCCTTTATTCAACACATTCCCATAGTCTAAGGGCAACGTATTGACTCAGGATCCCTGATTGCGATTTTTGACCATGTTTAGTCATTTAAATTTATAACAATTTAATATATAAGAATTAATGAAAAGTAATGGCACCTTTCTATAATCTTTTAAAGCACAGCAAAGTCGCAATTCCCTTTACTTTTCTTGTTCGAGTGCCAGGGTTAAAAACATTAACACAACCGGGATGATTGCTCTGCATGTGTGTAAAAACGAAAACTAAGTGACAAATGAAACTCCCCTTTCATATAAACAAGCAAGGCCATTTCACTTTATTATTGAAAAATGTAGTTTTGTGGTTTGATTTAGATCTTTTAAAAATGAAATAAAATATCGTCCAGTTGAAAAGCAAGAAGCGACATGTTATAAAACGGAAAGAATGTTATGAATTGCTATACATATATTATGTTCTCATCTAAACATTCTCATAGATCTGGACATTCTCATTTCGAAGACTTTCATTTTGCTGCGGTAAGGCCCGACTTATATCGACGCCATTGCAAATGCTGAACTTCAAATATAATGCTACCAAGGTCATGAAGCAAACTCCGAGGGTCATTATGGCAATAAGCATGGTTGTGCCGTTTGAATCTTCCAATGACCGCATTGCTGAGTGAATACTATGCACTTGTACTGCAGAAATAAGAAAATCTTTAGAGGGTCTACTTTTATTTGACAGTTCAGTGCTATTTTGACTTTAATTTGTTAGCGTGCTTCCTTTTTCCTTTACTCACACTCTCTTTTATCTAGAGTATATTGTTTACCCTATTCTGCTTGATTGTGTTTTACATATACATAAATAACAATTGTCTTGTTATTGCTTATAATGATCTCTATTACATACAACTAACATTTGTATATTGTGATTTTAAATTAAAAATAACCAGAATATTTCGAACTGTTTATCATTCAATCATCGTTACCAAGGAACTGAGCTCTGTGTCCACTTATTTCCTATCAACGACTAAATTCTCTTGGGTACTAAAGATTTTGATAAAAGAGAGTTAGCAATTTTTATTTTCAATTAAGTGTTTTATTTTTTGTGCATTAATATTAAGCTATGCTTCAAATAATAAAGCAGGCAGTAATATTCTACAGTACAACTTCATCTTCTGTTCGATGCTGGTTGAAGGATACATTGATTGAAGTCCCAAATTCAAAGACGAATACACTAAATGAACTAAAAAGAAGACGAAAGTCACGTAATTGCAATTGAGGGTCGTTTGATAATTTTAAAAATTAAATGAAACAAAAGAAATCGTGGTCATTTCATAATTTTTCGGGTGTCATATGGGGGCTCAATTTCGGGGGAGCTAGCTATTGATTACATATTGAAAATGCATTAATTCTTCAAAAAGCTTCCCCTCTGCTCCTGGATATTAGATAAACTAACTAAGTATATAGTTATGATGAGCAGAAGTGCTTCTTCCAAAATTGTGAATTTTGTGGCCTCTGGGTTGGGGGTTGTGATGTTAGGGCGGGGCTCCATTGATTATATAGTGAAATACATTGATGCTTTAAAAATCTTTTTCTCTGTTCCTTGGTATTAAATTAACGAGTTATGTAGTTATGATTATGATGAGGAAGGATGTCTCTTCCAAAATTGTCAATTTCCTGGCCCCTAAGTCAGGTGTTCTGCTCTAATGATTATATAGTGAAAATGCATGAATTTTTAAAATCTTTTCCATGGCTGCTGGGTATTATGCCAATAATCTTAGTATATATATTTATGATGAAGAAAGGTATATCTAGCAAAATTGTTAATTTCATGCCCCCTGGGTCATGGGTGGGGGTACATAGTCTTAAAATAAATTAATACTTTGAAATCTGCTCTTTGGTAATGATCAATCCATTTATGAAGAAATAAAATTTATATACTTTCCAAAATTTTAAAATATGTGGCCCCAGGGTCAGCGGTTCCTGTGGGGTAGAATTCACAACTGGTTATAAAGTTGAAATGCATTTTCTCTTTGTTACTCTTATCTACCTCTAGGTATTTAATAACTCGAGTAAGCATGCTAAGTATATGAATAAAAAGATATACTTCATTGTATGTGCAATCAGAATCTATTTTAACAAAATAATTTTGCAAATGATCAATGACCTGGACTTTAATTCATCGTGGGGAAAAGTCGAAACTTTTTAAGCTGCTGAATTTGGTAAAATATTGTGATTTCAAATTGTCCAAAAGTTCTTTGGAATTTTTGAATATCCACATCTGATTCACATCACTTCATGAATATATTGTTGCACAGTACTCTTGAAGTTTTTCCTTCACTACCGTCGATATCTTAATGAGGAGTAATGAAAGAGAATTGATTGAACATTTACTGGAACCTTCAATGTATCTTTGTTTGTAAGGATTTTTATGAAGTTTCAGAATCCAATATGTATAATATATTTAAGATGACATCAGAGAGATGCTTGAGTTTTTAATTGACAATATCTATGTGTTTTTTTAGATCAGGTATTCCTACAATCTATTGGAATTCCCATGAGTACCAATTGCGTTCCATTAATAGCAGACCTATTTTTATATTCATATGAAGCAGAATTTGTGCAAAATCGTATGCTTAAAAAGAAGAAAACACTTGCTGTGGCCTTCAACTCAACATTTAGATATATCAACAACATATTTCAATTAACAATGGTAATTTCCATTCCTATGTTGATAAGATATATCCTGGTGAGCTTGAGAAAAAAGATACCACATAGCTGACAACTGTTTCATACTTCATACTTGGATATTTTACTTGAAAAAAGACGTTAATGGTAATCTAATAACCAAGCTATATGATAAATATGTGATGACTTTAACTTTTCTATCGTCAACTTCCTTTACATATGTAGCAATATACCTTCATCACCTGCATACGGTGAATACATATCTCAGTTGATTCGATACGCAAGAGCATGCACTACGTATGAACAATTTCTAAAACGGGGTAAATTATTGACAAGCAAGTTGATGAAACAAGAATATCAGCAGTCTCGTTTAAAGTCATCATTTCGCAAGTTCTACGGTCGATACAATGACCTTGTCAGCAAATACAATTTATCATTGCATGAGTCAAATGCTGTCTGACGTTTTTCATACTAATTGTTTGTCCATTATTTATACACTGAATTGACTACGGATTCTTCCGTTATTTCCCGATCATGACAAGGAGCACACACCGTGTATGACCGGTCAGCAGGAGATGCTCACTCCTTCATGGCACCTGATCCCACCTCTGATGTTTCGGAGGTCCATGTTTGCTCTGCTTCTATTTTGTATTGTTTTATGGACTTTGATATTGAATACTGTTCGTATTCTCCATATCCTTCATGTAACTCGACCGTAAAAAAAATCAGTGAATGATATCCAAGGGATAAAGAAGCAAACATTGAAATAAAACAATATCTAACACATTCGTTGCCCTTTAATATATACCCATTTGATTTCCTTGTGCTTTCCCTGTTCCACCCTCAGTAACTTTCCTCTTTAAAAAACAAAAATTATAAGGACTTTCTCTGTATTTTCCGTCAATTCAGATTCTCAAAGACCGTAGGACGGAACCTTACGATTTAGTTCTATTGGCAGAGAAAGGGACGGAAGAAAACTTTTTTCACATGACACTGTACATGTACCTGGATGACTGAGTCGTAATTTTTTTCTTAGATTGGGGATAAATACACGGAAACTTGTGTCTCTACACTTGCATTATACTTTTAAACATTGTTTTGTTTTTTATTGACTTATCATCATATAATCTGTAACGACTTTTAATTTATGTTACTAGTATATTGTATCTGGATATTTTACATGATTTAAATTAAAGCGTCTTTTTGTATGATGAAACATATGGAGATAACGAACAGTACTCAAACTCAAAAGGTCAGAAAACAATACAGAATAGGAGTAGAGCATACACGGACCTCCAAAACATCTGAGCTGGAATCAGGTGCCATTGAGGAGTGAGCATCCCTGCCGACCGGTCACACCCGCCGTGTGCTCCTTGTCATGATCGGGAAAAATTATAGGTTTTTTACCTGTGGTTTTAGATGCAGTTGATTGATCTGAAAGGAATATGGTGTAAAGGATTGTCAAACTCTCTCCTGAAATGAGCAATATTTTTCATTTGTTTTGCATAGCAAATTTCCAATAGATATTTGCATAAATCAACAAATCATGAGATTTTATGTTATGTGTTATATCGCCTTACGGCCTACAAATGATAACATCAGAGTGTCTAAAACAGCGTCAAGTTTCATGTTTGCTACAAAAAGTTGGATAATTCCACAAAAAATTACAAATTTCACTGATGCTCATACTTGACTTTTCGTTTATTCCATTCGTTTAGAACCATTCACTTACACACATATTGGACCTTCTGAAGATATTTAGTAAGTTATAGACTATATTCTCAGTATCATTCAACTGAATAGGCGATCTTATATCGACGGTCTACAATGATAGCGTCTTTCCGTCTTTCGCTATTACCATAGCGGTATATCCGCATGTTTTGTTCTTCCCGGGAACTCCATCCAAAAAGATTTCGCTAAGAAACTTTCATTTCACATGCATACTAAAGATTCTGTGATATTTATATATTTGTTTTCTTCTGTATTCATTTAAAGTATTTTAGGATGTCATTGCTTAATCTAAATCAAAACTGAACTGCTCTCTTGTGCGACGTAACGTCATCAAACGTCGTCATTTTTTATGTGTTGTGTTTACCAATTTCACATGTCGAATGCTTGGGAAAATGCCAAAAAATTAGCAAAAGCCTTAGAATTTTCAAAAGACAAAATAGATAGTGGATTAAAAAAAAAGGATAAGTTTACCTCAATTTTATCGATTTGATATACTTTTATTTCGAAATAATACTCTTGCATTCTCTAATGAAACCCTGGTATTTTGATCATGTGCTGTAGGACCGTACCCTGTGCACTTTCAAGCATAATCAAAGTACTGAAAGCACTCATGGGAGTTGAACGTGGTGTTAAATAAAATCTTTGATCGGGATGTTAAGTGAGTGAACAATATTATTATTTCAAATACAGACAACTGTTTCAGATTTTTTTGAGTTGCAAAAATCTTGAGAAAGACATATAGAGACATTGAATAGCAAAACATGCAGGGGCCATATTGTTGCCTGCCTACATTAGTCCTTTTTTATTCCCCCAGCTTGAAAAGCGGGAGGGTATTTATTAATCTGGATTTCCGTCTATCTGTTTGTAACGCTTAAGGTATACCCATCTCTTATCCGCAACTCCTCTTACACCACTGAACGAAATTTTCATAGAATCTTAATAACATATTGCCGTTGTGCACCTTCTATTACTTTTCCATCCTACACATATTTTGGTTTTCCCATTGCAAAACATGGACACTGACATTTAATTCATATTAGAGGCGGTTGATCATTTATATTATTCACTGCTCACAGTCTTCAAATTTGTAAGATATTTTTCCTTGGCACCTTTACCCATGTGTTATGAAAATTTCAGTTTTGCAGGAATAATATCAATGTTGATAAAATGTGGATTTTAACACAGCATCCTTTTAAGAGCTAACAGGTTTGTTATATAAAACTTCTCTGTGAATATAAATGTATTTCAATTACACGAACATTATACATGGAGTACGTCAGAAATTAATCTTTTTTGATATTGTGAAGAAAAAAGCAAAACCAAGTTTAAAACAAATATTTAATGACCAAACATAAAAACAGTGGTATATGTGAGAGTTTGTGTGCGTAAGATTATTTGGTATGTAAATGAGATTTTCCTTAAAAAAAACAAAAAAACTTCATTTTTTTTTTTTTTTTTTTTTTTACGAAATGTTTTTACGAAAATTTCAGTGTCCGTTTTTTGGTTTTAACATTTATAACAGAGTTCTAGATTTACCACTTTTGGCAGGTGATACTGCTGATTTAGTGATTCCTAAAGTTTTTATGCAATAATGAATTCATTTAAACTAAGAAAATGTTCGTGAAAAGTTTGAATAAATTATGTGCACCAGTAAAAAAGAAATGGCTAAAAATCCGGGACCGTCGGGCGTCGGGACGACTAGATTTACCGCTTGCCGTTAGTATGTAGAGTTCAATCTCTATCCAGAGTTATCGTTCCCGCTACGCTCCCACTTATACCTCTGTTAACGTCTAAAATAAGTAGTTCCAAAAATCGGCTTCACGTGACCAGCACGTGTTGTTCAAAATGGCGACGACGCCAAAGAAGGAATCGAAAATAGATTGTTTTATTTGTTTTTCGCAAAATAATCGAACATATAAACTAAATGGAAGGAAGCTTTCATCGGAGAACTTTGAGAGAGAGTTGACCCTTCTATTACAGGATGATGAAGATAATTGTTTGGTCTCAAAACTGAAAGATGCAGATGCTGGTATATGCCGTAACTGTTACCGCAAGGTAAAGGGTTCATTTGATTTCATTCAGCAAGTGAGGTCTTCATGCAGGTCATTTTTAAATGAACCTTTTCATGTAAAAACAACGATGCCTTCCCCCCTTACACCGAAAAGTATTCAAGGGACTGAGGGGTGTAAAACTGCGAACCCTAACGTCAGTGAAGACACAGTACATGTAATTCAACCAAAGTCCAGAAAAAGACTAAAAGTTACGTTCGAAAACTCAGCCGTGAAATGTCAAAATACAGCTCCATCTCAGAACATACCTTTACATTCCATGTCTACATTGCCATTAGAGCATGACTATGCCGCTTTGAATCCAGATATAAAAACAGAAAATGTTGATGCTGCATTTGAACTAGTTAAATATACATGGGAAAACCTTTTAAAAGACAAAGAAAATAAAGTTCCATCAGCACTTGGAAATTCCTCTGACGGTTTTTTTTATGAATTAAGAAATCAGTCCAGATCGCTGCTGTCAAGAACAACAATGCTTGCTTCTGTATTATTTAAATACAGAGAAGCTAACACTTTGGTGGAAAATGCGGACCTCCTTTTTCAAGATATTATATCAGAGATGAAAAACAGGTAAGTAATTTTCATTCAGAATAAAATCATACGACAACGTTTATATACTTTTTATCAAAGTTTTAATGCCAATCTTTAATATTGATGAGCATCGATATCGTATTATTGTATCTGATATTATTTTAAAAGATAACTTACTATTGATTGATGTACAGTAATTTATTCTTGTTTTGATTGATACTCCCATCTTCCCTGTTTACTTAAAAGAATCTTGAATCCTTGCAATGTTTGTTTACAGGATGCCACATTTATTAGAGGCTATGTGTTGTGTAGCTGTTCCTGAGAGTGGAAAGTTATCGCCATCTATCATTCCCGTTCTTGTGACATGCTATAGTATTCTGATGAAACATAAGTATTCAAACTTATCAGCTTTCCACAGACTTGCCAGTGCAATTGCAGTTGAAGGAGGACTGAATGATAGAGTAAGATATTAAATGGAATTGACAATAAATTATTACTAACCTGGTATTTCAATACAAGTTATTATGTTGGTACATGTAGTAGGAGACACCCCCACATATTTTCAGTAGCTATAATTATCAAAAACACAGTTAATTGATATATTTTGCCCCATTGACTATTAGATTGGACAAAAAGTTTAATTCTCTTATAGTCATATTTGTGTCTCATACCACCTTACCAACATCATTTAGTTATTATCACTTCACACAGACATGGAAACACTAGTTTAAAAAGAGGATTTGGGAGGGGTGGTGTTTCTTCAATCAAAGTACTTTTTGTCAAAAGTAAATGGTTGCTGGCTTGCTCTTGATTAATGATTAATGAATGATAGTGATAGTGTTGAAATGGGGGGGGGGGGTGCCTATAGCCTGACAACTCCCAAGTTTCCTAGTCTGTGTCTGTTAAAGTTGAAATTGCTTTGTTATAAGTAGATATCTATATATAGTTTTGATCTGTTATGTTTGACATAAGCTTGCTTATGCTATATATATTTTATGAGGGTATATGATTTGCATGTGGTTATTATCATTGTAATTACATTTTGCTTATCTTTTTAGTATAGTTATTATTGTTACAGTTGATTCAATTTTGAGTGCATGTTGACTTATCACAGGATAGATCTACCCGTTAAAACGCGAAAAATACAAAGACTGGTAAGATGAATGTTGTGCTCAGTTGATAAAATAAAAAAAATGACATATATTTTTTTTAGTATTCAATTTCTTATAAAAAAAAAAAATTCTATTACAAGTATGTTATTTCTTTTAATTGTTTCATTTATTAAGTTAAATCATTAGTGACAAATTTTCAGTTTTAAAATTCTTCAGTATTGCATTCGGAAACAGCAAAACTATGAAAAGATGTCGTAATTAAATTCTCATGTTCAATGTTTAGGGCCAAACAAGATTCAACCAATTAGGAATCATGTTGTCATCCCAGAGAAGATTGACTTTTCAAGAATCCATAGGTTGTGCTTCTCAGAATCTAATTACTGCGAATTTGAAAATCAATCCACTAGTGAAGGTGACAGGTGGGAATAATTTAATATTTTAACTTATTACCTATTACCTGCTATTTTTAGGTAATACACATCACATATAACTTCCAATATTGCAGGATTTTTTATTAACAGATTTTTTCTTTGCTGGTAGGTGATAACCTGGATATATATATTAAGAGATCAAATCTGACATCAGAAAACAGGAATCTGGATCTTCATCTTTTTACTTCAAACATCATTTTTAGTCGAGTTGCTACAGTTGACATGAATAACGATATACCAAATATTGATGTGTCCAAATTATCTGCAGATGATGTTCTCCTTAGAGCAAATTGCCCGGAAAGACTTAAGTTCATGGATGTATGTTGTGTGCTACTCTCCAGAATATTATGTCAACTGCCTTTTTTTCAGAAGTTTGGCAAGATTTTGCCCAAACATATTCCACATGAATTTTCACAGAAAATGGCTGTTGCTTCTAAGGCGATGCCTTTGCCCATCCAGTTCAAAAATGAAGCAAAGCACGAAGATTGCTTAGCAATTATGGACTCTTATGAAGAGCAGATTACAACAATGTACCAAACTGCCTTCGGTAAATTTATGTTCTTACATTCATAACTTGACCAGTGGTTGTTTATAAGATGTGATTTAAGATATACAATGTGACCATTTTAATGTTCATTTATATACAGTTAAAGTATATCATTGAGGAAGTTAGTAAGATTCCAGTTCCCCAAGGCCAGGACTATTTGCAGCCGAGGGAAATAGTCCTGGTGGAGGGGAACTGGAATCTTGCTAACTCCCTCAAAGATATACTTTTCAACTGTTTTATTATACAAATATAAAAGTAATAAAATAGAGGATTGCAAAAATTGGTAAATTAGCTTCGCAACTAATTCTACTGCCTTAAACTCTTATATAGGAAAAAATCAGTAGAGGTATAATAAATGCTTTTATTTTCCCTCTATATACATATACATATCCCAGTGCTAGTGTCAGGAATAAGCATATGTCATGTAAATCTTCTATCCATATTTTTTCCCTCATAAACAGGTAACTTGGACACTCTTAGAAAATACCAAGTGGTTCTTGGGGGAGACCAGTTAACACGTGCAAGGTTACAAGAGGCAAAAAACCTGCGAAACATCTCCATAACACCTGAGAGAAGATTTGATGATTTGAACCCAATTGTAATCGAGATGTGGCATAACAAACAAGACTTTTTAGAGGTATCCGCATCGTAATGAGATTTAATTAAAAAACTTTAAAGCTAAGCTTAAGTGAGGTTCTCTAATTACCTGTTGTCTGTCCTTATGTAAACTATTCACATTTTCATATTCTTCTCAAGAATTATGAATTCAAGACTTGATGAACTCTGCACCAATTTTAACCAAACTTGTACAAAGCATCCTTGGGTGAAGGGGAGTATAAATTGTTGAAATGAAGGGTGGGGTCATTAAAAAATCTTCTTAGAACAACTGGGCTATTAAAGCTGAAACTTATGTGGAAGCATCCTGGGGTATTTTAGATTCTAATGGATTGGGATAAAAAAAAAAAATCATTATAAATGCACAAACATGGGCATAATCTCAGTCATAAATAACCCTGCCACCTTTAAATTTGAAATTAAAATATAATTTTTTGTATTTTAGAAATGCTTCAAGTGCTTATACAAGAGCGAGAATTCTCCTGGAACACTCAGCTTCTTCAAAACGCTCTTACATCGGACAAATGTAAATGGGCAGGTGAAAGGAAGATTCCAGCCCCACTATGATCTTCTAATGACCGTAGGGGAGGGACTGGTAAAAGAACAGTTTATGGAATATTTCCAAATGGAGGATAAGTACAGTCAACCTAACCACAAGAACTTTGAAGACATTGACATCAAATCTTCTGAAGAACAGAAAGCTTTATTACTGGCTGCTGTGATTGACTTTATGAAGTATTTTGGATACTGCAATGCAGATACAGCCGAAGGTCTTCCTCAACCGCTAAGAGGAACATTAAAATATCAACTGCAAAAAACAAGGGATGAAAATCAGTTGATTCTAGTGCCATTCCATGAAAAACCAGTAGATGATGAAGTCTTTAATTACTCAATGCAACTTTGTCATTGGTACTTGCATATTATGGAGCTGCACGATACCGCAAAAGAGGGTGATCTAAATCGAACAATTCTCAACTGTAAATATTCAATTCCGTTTTTCTTTTCTCATTCAAGATTAAGCAAATACTTGGTTGAGAATGTGGACTATCTATTGAAAACAGAAAAATTACTGTCACCTTTACAACGCATTCGTGTTTTGGAGGGTTCTTATGTCAACATTTGGGGTGGTCATGGCAATAATGTTGAATGTGACTTAGTACAAGAGCACAGTGTATGTAATCAAAAAGCTCTAATCAAAGCATTGGGAGCAAACAAAAGTGAAAAATCCATTTTTCGTGTCACTGTATCAGCTGATGCAATCGATGAACTCTGCACAAAATTTGATAGAAGTGTAAATCTAAAGCCAAAAAGTGGCAGACATTCGTTATCATATTCTGAAGCGGACAGGGATATTGTTTATAAGAAACTGAGAGATTTAAGACCATTTCAACATAGCCCAGGCAGGACCTGTAAGGGTTTTAAAAATATAAGCCCCACTCCACTCCGTCTTGAAGACATGCCCAAACTTAAAGAGAGACTTACCCAAATCATCAAGAGACTTTCAAGGGGATTTCAATTTATGCCAGAGGAGGAAGATACATTTGATCCTGATAACGAAATTATTGACAATCTGCCACCATTATGAATCTGTTGTTGTCTATAAGGCCAAAATAAAAAATACTCTCGTTTCCTGTCACCCGACCTACCCTACATTTTTACCCTCCGACCCTAAAAGTTTTTATTACATTAACATTTTTTGGGTTACTATTTTCTTAAAAAAAGACGACCAACAAACAATATTTACAGAACTAATACATCATAAGTGTACAGGATACCTTTACTTTATAAATCTTTATTAACTAACTTGCTCTGTAAAGTGTCAATATATCATTTTCTTGTTATTACATACTATATGTTCTGCATTCATTGAGTTTTGAAAATAAAATTTTTCGCAAAATAAAATTTTTTCCATACCTACCTACCCTAATTTTTTTGGTCAAGGGACAGGAAACAAGAGTATATTTTCTTTTGTTCTAAATTCACCATTTCCCATATATTGTTTTCTTCATGCATGGAGATTGTATAATTTTACCCATAAGTTACATAAATGGTATTATGTGAAAATTGTGAAATGGATATAGAAGGATATGGAGATAACGAACAGTATTCAATCTCAAATTTTTCTTCAGAACAGTTAGCACTTTAGTCTAAGTAGACTCCACCAAATATTGAATGCTGTATCACTCTGTATCTAATGTAATCAATGTATCAAAGCTGTTAGCAATTCTCCTTGACTGACTTTATGGTAATTTATGATTAACTGTAATGTATTTATTTTTTAATAACCTCTTAATAGATTTCAACTAAATATTTCATCACAGGTACATGTTATTAATGCAAAAAGTGAGTAAATCAGAAATTTTGTTTATGAGCTCTTTTATTTTGCTATTAGCAAAACAATTACATATTCGCAATACATAGTATAAAGAATATAATGTTATGTTTCCTTCAATCATGATGCCAGATGGTTTGTTTTCTTTTTCATAAATGAAAATGTTAATACATGTAACATGTTTATGAAACAGGAAGAGTCTAATGTTTTGCATTTCATTCAAGACTTTTAGTGGAAATTTTCATGGATTGCTTTCAATAAAAAGAGTGCACCTAATAAAAGGTACATGCAGATTATAAAATATTGTTCTTCCTTATAAACCTACAGAAGAGCATCAACATTAAATTCTATTTGAAATTTTAAACAGGTCAAGAGGTCAATCTTTATATTATCACAATGATTATCCCTAAAACTTGTGGTTTGACATGTTTGGTTTATCATAATTCTAAAATTTGTAACACCAGGGAAGAGATTTAATTAAGTGTACCTAGTTGTCTGTAAAATGTGGCACAAAAAACAATTGTTTTAAGAGGATTAGTTAATAACTGTTTTCAGACATGCATGTTTTGGATACTTGTTACATCAACACATGATTCACAAATACAGTTTTCAGCACAGAAGGAACAACATTTACAGTCAATAGTGCTTTCTTCTTTTTCAAAACCAAAGACGGATAAAAGTTGATTCCTTAGACATAGGGAATCAGTTTTACAGTAGTTTATGATGTCTTCCTTGATCCCAGGCAGATTCTTACCTATATCACGATTTGAATAGTATAAAGTTGCAAATGATGGTTGTCCACAACGACCTGCACGCCCAATCTCCTGCAAGTATTGCGACAAATTTCTGGGAGGACATGCGTGAATAATATGCGTTACATTTTTGGGATCAAATCCCATTCCTGCAATTGATGTTGTTAAAACCAACCGAATAGTTGGGTTCTCCTTTTTCAGTTCTGCTATTGTACGATTAATTACATATTCATCTTGTCCAGAACATATTGCACTGTAGAGCGATTCATTGATATTTAAAGAACCAAACAAACTTTTTAAGTATACCAAAGCTTCACTCATGTAATATATGGGCAAAAATAATAATGTTACTGGGAAATCTGCCTTCTTTTTGTATAGATCATCACATAATTTGTGGACAATTTGTTCATATTCATTCAGAACATCAGTACCTTGGTCTTTCTTCCTTTTCATTAAGAATATATTAGGTCTGTCAGGTGTATGTTCTATAAGGTGAAAATTCTCAAGTCCCAGCTGTTTCGGAATTGTTTTCTTCTGTGAAACTGTTAAAGTACCACTCAAACCTATCACTGGCACACATGGAAAAAAGGATTTTACACCTCGAAGCTTTTTGAAGGCAGTCCTGAATTCTTCTCCCCTGAAATAAATTGTCATAATTATTGATTATATAATCATGACCTAAGAAAATTATGGGGTATGTGTGATTGAGACAACATCCTGATAAAATTTTAAATTTAATTATTCCGATCATGAACTAACTAATTTTTAGGACATGACTTAACTTAAGATATTTATATTGTCTCTACAATAACAATACAAAATGTGTCATGGAAGTCACCACTAAGAGTTGTGTCATTTTTAGGTCAACTTAGTCACTCGGTTGACCTTTTGTTATCCATTTTCGTACGTTGGCATTTGACATGTGTCGTACGTCATTTCTGATGACCAAAGATGTCTTTTTTGAAATATTTGGCCCCAGGGTTGGTTCCTGTAGGATGGGGCGCAGTGCACAACTGTTAAGTGGAAATGCCTTTTCATTTGTTACTCTGATCTATATTAAATAACCAAAGTAAGTATGCATGCATGGTGCCTCATTCAAAATCGTGTCAATTCATGGCATCTGGTTACCAAATTCAATGTTTGCATAATACTGAGCCTAACTCAGGTGACCCATAACGCTTGTGGGCCTCTTGTTTAGCGAGCAGTCAGATGGGAAAAAAATCAGTACAGTTTGAGCAAAAGAATAAATAAATATTTTCACGATAATCATGCAATAAATATTGATAATGGAGATTTGCTTTTCTTTAATTTGTCCGAGTATTAAATAAAAATACTTTGAAAGGGTACTTGTATGTTTAACTTACCATTTCTCTATTATATGACATTCATCAATTACAACGGCGACTACTTTTGAAGCAAACTGCTCATCTGATAGTATTTCGTGTCCTTTTTTTGTGTTAAAGAGGGCCTCCGGATGACATAATACAATTGAAAAGTCCCCCTTCTTCACTCTGTCCACATCCACCTCCCACTCCGATATAAAATCCTCCTCTGTAGTATCTTCAACTTTCGACACAATATTAAGTCTACATGCACTGATGCCACGAACTTTCAATGCTTCGATTTGATCTTTTTGAATTATATTTAATGGTGAAATTTTCAAACAAACGGGGGCCTCCTTGTCTTTGCCAAGAACCTTTGGGAGTAGATGATATATGAGACTCTTTCCATAGCCGACTGGCAAACTAAGCAATAAATCTTCTTTGGTATTCAAAAGATATTCAAATGCTTGTCTTTGGCAGTCCTTTAAGACAATATCCTTTCCATATTCCTGTACAATTTTGTCTAAATCTACCGCTTCCATGATTGTTTACATTAGTAATGGAGGATTACTCCGCGAAATAATCCTTTATTTGTGACCGTTATTTGCCGATAAATTCTTCTTAATTTTAATTTTTTAGCTTAAATTTAACATCAAAATATATAAACAAATACATTAAAAATTATAATTCTAATATCATGGTTGAAGGTGAGTTTTGCCAAGAATCTTGCCATTTGGATAGTCTAGGCGTTAACAGAGGTGTTGTAGCGCAAGCGTATACGCCCTCTGGTGAGAGATTGTGTAGAGTTGTCGATCGTATCTTTTCAGTGTATTACGCCACACAAAAAATGAGTTCCATTACGAAAAACTTTTTGAGTTTCTTTATAATTTAGTTTTACTTTGAACGAAAACTAATACAATGTATTTAAAATAAGATTACTTTATTATTATTATATTTACTTACATTTCAAATTATGAAAATTAGATCCATTCAGGAGAAAATGACATGAACTATTTGTGGCGGATGTTTATGCATGTTTGCTGTTGAATATCATCGGAGTAAATCAGCCGACACAGTAGCCTCGCTTTCGGCTCTATATAATCAACACAAATTACTGCGCATGTTAAATACGTGATGACCATGGGAGATTGAACATAGTTCAACTCCCAATAAAATCTTCATTTTTAATTTGTCTATATTTTATAAAACATTAAATAAAATGCACAAAATCATGATGAATAAACAATTGCTGAATTCCAGCTAAGTGCGTCAATTATTTTTCGAAAAAAATGCTTTGTCCACGATTGTAGCGGACAGCCCTAGTAAAGCACATTTTCCAATTTCTCTTAGACTCACATAACTAATCTAGTTATGAAATATTGAAATAGAAAGTATAAAGAAATTCAGTTTTATAAGGATACCCATTTCCACTCGATAGCCGCTGTTCCTGCACTGCTAGAAGACATGCAGATTCCGTAGGTCGAGAGTTCAACCCTAGCTAGGGCGGAAGTGGGTATCCTAATAAAAAATGAATTTTTCTCTACTCTATACTGCAATTTTTATGAGCCTATATCGCAGGGTTTTATTTACCTGTGATTTTAGGTTTTACTGAATGATCCGAGAGCAAAATGGTGTAAAGACTCGACGAACTCTCTTCTGAAATATATATATATATATATGGAGCACTGCATCTTCGAAGCATATAAAATAAGGACAAGTATAGTACAATTTTATGCTAAGATCCTCTTATGAATACGTTTTGTACAAAGTTTATATCTTCTATATATTTTAATGCATGTACATGTAAATAACTCTATAAATTATTTTGAAGAAACAAAAACGAGTGTATTCTCGACATGTACGTTCAAAAATGTGGGCGATGTTTACAAATTCTAAGATCTTTCAAAAGCACAAGTTGCATTTACTGAAATCATTCAAACCATTCTTACCTGATTCCACGCATCCCACGACATGATTACATAACTCTTTACTGCAGTTACACTCTTGTTGGCAGTCCCTTCCGTATGAGGGACTAGGACATGTAAATAAACAATTTACACCAGAATATCCTACTTCACACGCTGAAATTTAAGGATAATTACACAAAATTCAATATGAAAATAACATATATCATATATATAAAATATCTAATTGTATGAGTAAAAGGATTTAAGATAATGAACTCTGATTCCTCACGGATGCATTGTTTCTGGGTATCATCCCATTGGTATCCACCACAGCATTTCCAGATCCTGTAACATAGCATATTTACTGTGAATCAAAAAACAAAAATATCAGAACATTGTTTTTACAAATTTATGTTTGTAACATTTGGAAGATTCAAACGGTACACATGGTGTGATTGAAGTGTACATCACTTCTATTGCAACTAACTTTAAATAAATCGATTTCCTTTATTTCTAAGTGTTAATGATAATTACTATATAGTAATTTTGATTAACGAAGTATTGACCTTTCTGAAGTATTACATTTTAATAAATAAATTCTGCAATTAACATGTTTTATTTTACAGAATTCATTTGATAAAATAAATTATTTCAAAAAGGACAGAATACAAATCCCAGAGAAAAAGTCTTATAGAGTTCTGTAAATGATTAAATTTTTGATTTCAAATATTGTATCAAAATATTATTTTCGTCATTTTGATGACATATTTTATATATTAATGTCATGATTTCATATACTCGTGAGTATTTGGCGACCACAATTTATGGACTCTTTAAAATTAGCAAAGATGTACAGAAGCGCACAGTTGTATTGATTAATTAATGACAAAAATATAATACATTGATCTATTGTCAAAAATGGCGACGCACAAGTTATATCATACTATACGATAAGCATTAATATCACTATTTTTTGGTTATTTTAGTATTGTGAAAATACAGGTAATTCGGTAGCTAACAGAAAATCAACTATAGCAATTTTCTTACCCGCCACAGCCTTTTTCGCCTTGTGCTTTGATTAGTTTCGCACTTTTAGAAAATGTGAATAGAATACAGAGTACGATTTTCAAGTCGCTCATCTTCTTTATGACGAATTCGAATTTCGAAATATCTGGAATGGATATCCTAATTTTTAACCGTTTTATGAGTGTTTCAAAACCTGAAATGTTTCCTCGAATAAATAAAATAAAGAGGGCGTCATTGAGTTTACATATTTGAGTGTACGTGATACCCAAAGCTTATTTTTGGGATAAAATTAGATGCATTCGACCTTGACACGTGTTATATTTTTGCAAGTGTCCATATATATATATATTTCCTATCATTAATGAAAAAAATGTCCCTTTCTCTCCAAGCACTGATTTCCTCATTTGAACTATGTACGGTGAAATTGTTCTGAACGATTGCACGGTCAGATTCATTTAAATTGAGTCAAATGCTGTGTTACTTTTTTCACACTAATTGTTAGTCCATCATTTACAGAGAAAATTGACTACGATTTCTGGTTCCCCCAAATCATGACAAGGTGCACAAGGCGGGTGTGATCGGAGAGTATGCTCAGTTATCCATGGCGTCCAACATCTGATTAGATAGAATACTGTTAGTGTACATTGTATTATATTTAGCATGTACCATATTTGGCGGAAATTAATTTTTGAACAAGTTAGCGTAGATTTGTTTTAGCGCATTTCTCAATGTTCTTATTTATGTATATATGTGCAAGACATTTAGAGTTGTACTTGAATTAGTGAAAGATCCTATATGACAAAGGCGCTAAATAGAATACACAGCCAAATGTAATACGTTTACAATAATCTAAATCTGTCTTGGGACAAGCCTCACAAACCGGGTCTCATTTCAACGATAGAAAATTCCATTTAACCTTTGATGCATTTGCTCTAATCCTGATTTATATGATTTGAATTGACTTTTGAGCTTGAATATTGTTTGTTATCTCCATATATTTCATGGTAAGCCTCTTTATTTGGAAAAAAAAACGGTTTAATTAAACGAGAAATATAAAGGTGAGGAGTAGTGCTCCATCTCATAAATCATAGAAAATATGAATGGAGAACATAGAAAAAAGCACAATGTCTGAAACATCTGAGGTAAAATCAGGCTCCAAAAATATAAAAGGAGTTAGCATACATTGTCCTTTGTCACACCAGCTAACAGAGTAATCTGTAGTCAAAACTATCTTACAATAAGAACAAAACGTTTCATACACAACTTAATGGTATGTTGTATTTGCAAAGATCATTATTACGACCTAATAATATGGAAACAAAGATCAAGACTGCTGAATGCTCAGTAAATTACTTAAGATGTTTTTTGTGTATTAAATCAGTTTAAAATCAGCTAGAACATCATATACATATATTTGATGGTGGTATTTTCTACATGAATAAGAAAGTTGACAGTGGAAAGGCTATAAAATAAAAACATTTTGTTTTTCACATAATTTAATGTTACTTGGCCATTATTGTCTTTTGTTGGTAAACACGAATGCTTGCTTCCTGCATGTACATTGCACTGTTATATGTATTGTGAAGTGATGGGTTATTTAGCGTATTGTATTAAACGAACACATGCGTCTGTAAAATATCTAAATATGAAAAAGTTTTGACTGACTTTATGGTGTCTGGGTTTTATCTTATTAAGAAGTCTAAATATAAAAGTATTCCAAACGTTAAAGAATTTCATCCTTTCATCCTTAAGGGAAAAGCAAGTTAGATTACAAGATTTGATTACAGCCAGGTTCCTCTATCATGAACCTTACAAACTAATAAATGATTTTCAATCACTTTAATCCATTTTACAAAATTAACTGAGTGTACAATTTCTATGCATAATGACACTTTTACATGTATTTTCAGCATCATCTTCTTTTGTCCCGGTATTTATCTCTACCACTCTCTCTTTCTCTATAACTGTCTCTTTCTCTACTCCTCCTCCTATCTCTATTCCTGTCAGAGTCTCTATTCCTGTCATAATCTCTATAACTGTCTCTATCACTTCTCCTGTCTCTATCCTCGTACGACCTCTCATATGACCTTTGTGAGCTATATTTATCCTCTCTGTGTCTGTCATCTCTATATTTAGAATTTTTAGAGCTGCCTCTGTCGTCATCCTCTCTATATTTTCTCCCTGGTGACCTTGACCTGTTTATGGGACTCCGGGATCTTCTGTTTCTTCTCTGTGGGCTAAGGGATCTACTTCTTTCATTCTGCAATAAATCAATCACTACAATGTACATACAAGAGTTTGTAGTAAAATTTGATTAAAATCCCATTTGCAGATCAAAATAAAAATACAAAATATATGCTCTGTGAAAAATTTATTATTTGAAATGTCTCATTATAACATTAACATGATTAATTTTGCACGACTTCATTTGTATTGAAAGCTAAAATTATATGGACTATATTGACTGATCTTTTAATTTCTGGGAAAAATGTGCAAAGTACATGCATTTTGTGTAGAAGTTCTTCATATCAAGATAAAGAAATGGTATTCATCACAAGTCAGAGAGTTCGCTGTTCTAAATGTGTAAAATTTATTATTTTATCAAAATTTATCTTTGTTAATGACCTTTCCCTTTCTGTGTGATTCACTGTCACTTTCACTTTCACTTTGCCTTCTGTCTTTGTGTTTCTTTTTCTTCTTTGATTTCGTTTTCTTCTCATCATCTTCATCATCATCAAAAAATAAATCATATCTTCTTTGATAAGGTTAAGAGAAGTAATTAACTATAACAATTCTCTGTATGTATGTTGTTGCAGTCAAATTATTCATGAAAATTCCTTTAATACATATTTATTTGGTACATTTTACTGCCACTTATATGATATAATTGTCTAAAAGCTAATCAGTAATGCTACCCCCCCCCCCCCCCCCCCCAAAAAAAAATTGACTGAATATCTTTTAAAAATAACATTTTTTTTAATTCTCAATATAAGAATTTTTTATGAAGTATTTAGTGGTATGTGACCATGAATGCTTGTTTACATTTTACCTGTTTTAGGCCATAAAAAATTAATTTCCTGGTTCTCAGGCCCTCCCTTACATGTACATTTCTTACCTCATATATTTGGCAATCAAGTCATCAATACAGAAAGTGGGTGCAGGGGAAGGGGTTGAAGTCTGTAATATCGGAGCCTAAATGTAAATATCATCTCAGATCTTTTATCTTGTTTTTTTTAAAATCATATTATGATCAGAATATTTTTAAGAAATATATAGTTCTAAAAATTTCATAAAAATTAGAATAAAACTTTTGCATTTAGTTGACTTAGTTAAGGAGATTCATTCTGTAATGATCGGCGCTCTGTTCTGAGACATGTTTATCTAGAAATTGGTTATAGTCGAACGTTGAACACATCCGAATATTAATTGTAGAATCGTTAACCCTAGCCTCTGTAAATTTGGATTTAAATCATAAAAAGAATTAAAATACATTTTATTGGAATTTTAGAATAGTTCAGAACGAAATACTACCGTTATGATTGACAGAGATAGAAAAAAAATTAGTTACAATACCTACCTGATACATGACAAACTGAACCTGATGTTTAATTGATGCATTTGCTTCCAAAAGAACATGTTTTATTGCATTCTTGAGAGTATCTCTGTGAAAAGAGAGGAGAGATACAAATATAATATATACAAAAAATATATCCATATCTATTCTCTAGTAATATATTTATCTAATCCAAGAGGAAACAAGCGTTTTTAATGAATTACCTGTGGTAGGTCACTTTTCTCAGCGTATAAGAAGTCCGAATCATCGACCAAATCGTTAGGATGTATTTCGGCATTAGAGGAGGATAACTAGCTTGTAAGCTGATTACGACAAAAATTCAGAGATTTACAAAGTGTTCGAATTGAACACTCTTTCATACACATTTGCATTCCACATGGCGATAGTTTTTCAATCACATGTACTTCGAGGCGCTTATTTGGGGTTGTAAGATGGAAGACGTTCATGAATATACTGTTAATATAGAGCTGAATCAAATACACATACATGAATTTTTTGATATACATTGTAGCATGCGAGAGAAAATTCCAAATTAAGTTCTGCCAGGGTTTCCCGTTCATTTAAGTGAAACACACTATTTATTTTGAGTTTTTATTGGTATGTTTATTGGCGATATCAATATTCTATGATGCGATTCATAGAAATAGAATCACTCTTTATCTAGAATAAAAATTAATAAAATATCGTGTGAAAGGAGAAAGTAGAAAAAATGGATGATAAACCATTTTATTTAAAACCAGTAGTTTTAAACATTAATAAGATTGAAAAGAAAAGCAATAATGTATTGAGTAATGAAAAAGGCCTATATTTTCACAATAAAAATATTTACAAAAAGATGATGAAAGGCAAACCATTGACAAATATGATCATATTTCTTTAGATGAATTAGCAGTGGACAGAATGTGCTTTTACTCGCTATTTTATTATTTTTCTTCCACAAACAGCGTCATTCATAACAAATTAAACAAAAATGAAGACAACTTTTCGAAATATATTATAGTACTGAATTAATATAAGTATTCGGGTAATAAAAAGTGCATAAAAAGTAAAGATAACTTCTCTATATTGTTATTGAAGCAAACTCTTGTAAAATGAACTAAAATCTGCTTATAAATCATTCTGCATTTTTCAATAGTTAGCAAAATTGCGTTTGACGTCAAACTCCAGTCATACTTGCTTCAAAATAGATCACATGCATTTGCTTACAAAATTTAAGAAACGTTATTTTTCAAATAATTTTACACAATATTAATATTATCAAAAAGTTAGGTTGCAATCGCTGCATCCACTTCTTTCCTTTGAAACTAAACCTAAATTAAGTCATTATCAGAATGAACAAATTAATGATGACATCTTTTCAGTTCGAGAAAGATCCTTTACACGATTAGTATTTGAATATATATATTAATTCATACATTTAAAGCATCATAAAGGCAAAAAAAAAAAAAAACGTTTTTCCTTCATAAAAAATATACAAAGAACATTTCAGATAGCTGGTTAATATTAGCAGTGTTCTGTGTGTTTTAAAATGTTTTTGCTTATTTATTTTTTTTTTATTTGGAAAAATTATAAAATTTAATATAAGATCTGATTAAACAATAATGATACACTATATTTTTACTGGTACTTTAATAATCCTTAATCAGCCTATAAACTTTATTATATTTTTATCAGTTGTTTTATTGTTTTGAGAGATTCATATTTAGCTGCTTTTAATCTATACGTGCTGAAAAACTGGGGGAAATTATCAGTTTCATTGCATGTCACCAGTTACGACATTTTCAATCATGGAATTATGAATAGAAATGAATAGCAAGAGTATACAGGTTAATTTATTACAATAATTTATCACTTATTGAATACTATTTATGTCCTCATACAAAAATTATATAAAATCTCTCTCATAAGTTTATGAGATCTATAATTCCTTAAATTTTAAAGATTTTAATCAATTTATTGATGTTACATAAAAAGATTTTAAGTTCCTGTCTATATTGCCTAATCTCACAACAGTAAACCGTTCACGGTAGCTCAGTTGGTAGAGCGCTCGCTCCGTGATCGGGAGGTCGTGAGTTCGTATCTCGGCCGGGACTGACCTAGTCGTTAAAATGGGTAGCAACTGTCCCTTGGCCATGCGCTCGGAACCCTTCACCGGCATACGGTGACGTCTCCATATGAGTGAAAAATTCTCGAGAGGGACGTTAAACAATATACAATCAATCAATCACAACAATAAATTTATGAAATTTATAAAAATCATTGACCTTTCATAAAAAGAATGAAAAGATCAGTCAAAACTCTGTTCTTAGAAGGAAGAATAACATAGTATGTATAAGGTACATATGTACATATGGATATCAATATTATAAGAAGAACACATGAAAGTCGACCCTATTCATGCGTAAATGGGAACTCCTAATACTCTTCAAATCACCAATTGTCAAATTCGAAAGGTAGAATAAATAATTTTAATTATCTGACATGGAACAATATCAGAAGTGTTTTTTTTTAACAATTGATGTTGCAGAAAAATTAATTATGTAACTTCACGTGCACATCTTTCTTTGTATCAAAACTGATACTAGCGTTGGTTTCAAATGTAATACAGTGAAACTTGTCTAAGCCGACATGCTCTGGGAGACAAATTTAGTTTCGGAATAGACAGGGTGTCGGATTGCACAATGTTAAAAACAAGGAAAATACTAAAATGGGAAAAAAAATTTAACATCGGAATTCACAGTGTGTCGGATTATTCAGGTGTCGGATTAGACAGTTTTCACTGTAGTTAATTGAAATATTCACCTTTTTCCCCTTCACAGCAATCGTTAACTATAAAGACAATACATTGTACAATTTTCTTTAATTTTGATGAAAAGTTGAGCTACTCGGTGAGGTAAGGTAGGTTTATGAAAATATTTCGCCTAAATTCACATTACAAGCATAATTTGTCATATCGATAAAAGCGATAAAATAAGCGCATCAAAAACTGTTGAATTTTTCGACGAAGATAAACAAATACTTAATCTTTAATAAATTTCAATCCTTTTCAGAGAAAGAATGTGCTCGTGGATTTACCATTATTGACATATACGAGAATTTTCAGGACATCGATTTCGATCAAATTGAATAACTTCGATAAAACAAATAAAATAAGGATTCAATGTTCATTATTTTTTAAGTAGCCCTCTCTGATTTTTATGCATATCTTCCACCGCGCGCGATTTACGTGATCTAGGCGGTCACGTGACATGCTCTGATGCATTCTGTTCATAGATGCTAAAATATTGATTCTCCGAATCTTATATTTCTTACCATGCAAGTTAATTTTTTAACAATGAGATAAATGAAAATCTCGGAAATAGGATGGTTGGATAAGGATATTCTTTACCAGAAAGAACATGGTGACCATCACAATCCGATTCCTCTTTCTTAGGAGCGTCGTCTATCCAATATGGATAAAGTTGTGGGTGCCTTCTTTTTATCATATTTAATATGTTAAAAGTCTAAATTAAACCAAAATTTAAAGGATGTACTAATGATGATATTTTTATAATATTCAACCAATTTTCTGGATGTAACTTTGTAATCTTTCTTCACAAACTGTCTAACAAAGAACACATCTCTTCCCCAATTTGGTTTTACTTGGCTACAAAACAAACATAATTTTTAACCATTTCCCGGCCTTCACTACAATAATCAATACAATTTATTACTGAACTTCTAAAAAGTCTGTAGTATTCATAAACCTTGTACAAATTATTATAATATACTTCAAGGGAATCTCCAAGTTATGCATTTACAGCCGCTCGTTGCTCGAGTAAGACAGGGACAACAATTTTTCGTCACGTGTCACTTACATATTGACGTCATTAAACACATTGTGACGTCACAAATTTGGAGAAAATAATTACTTTTCATATGCCATTTATAGAGCATGAAAAATACTATAGTTTTGCCAAATTTCATTTCGATCCGAATCGTGGTTTTGTAAATACAGAATTAGTTCGCGAATTTTTTGATCACCCTTCGTATATATATTCGTCATAAATAAGTTCGTTTTATTATTTTCATAAAGTATGAAAAAGAAATTTATGATAATTGAATATAAAAATAGCTTGGTTATGCGGCGCACGGCCAAAACAAATCAAGTTTTTTATAGTAAAAATGCTAGTATTCTTTCAAATTTGAAGGAATAAAAAGAAAAGATTTGGATGAAAATTATCGAATCGTTATCAATTTTTTTTGTCGAGTACCTAGTATTTGTAATTGGAAAGTTATTGACATAATGCGAGAAACGATATAACAGAAGATAATAAAACATGAAAAAGACAATTCGCTAACAAGAAATTTCAAAGAATTGTGTTCCCTCGCTTTCAGTATTTTTGAAGATAGGATGCCATTACTTATGGCATGTCCTGTCAAATATGAAAGCCCTTTCATATGGCACTCAACAATAATCACCAAAGTCTTTTTTAATTAGATAATAAATAAATGTTTATAATGTAAAATATGATACAGAATTGATATAGATCATGAAATTTTTTTTTAGATCAAAATTCAATTTATTTAAATTATTTATAAATTTAACAAATCGATAAAATATTATCACTGAAGAGAATGCATATATAACGAAATAAACAATTACTTATTACGTAAGACTTCATTAATCATTCATTGGCACATCTTACCGACAGATATATACATAAAAGCAGACTAGAAAAAGCAAACCAGTTGTTTTCTTTTGAAATGAAACCAAGAGCTCTTTTTAATAATTAGTATGTACCTCATACGTCAAGTTCTGGCTCTGTTACAGGCATTTCCCTCTAAATGTTTCGACCCGACTGATCCAAAAACTTTGATCATTAGGAATTTTCAAAATTCCTCAGTGCCTCATTTTAGCCTTATTACCAATACAGACATTGCAATGTTCATGATGGTTTGTTATAAGTTAACAATGTGTCGTTCAGTTGACTGGTTAGGAGAAGAAACGACATGTCGACTAAACACAAAATTTGGTGTTTACACCGGCAGCTTAATGACTGAAGACCTCATTATTCATGTAGACCGGGAATCTTTTCCAAAGGTAAAATAAAAGAGTAGTGGACGTTAAGAGAGGTTTTCCTTTGTTTAAATACGAAAGAATTAATTATATAATAAATAAATCATTACTTCGAATTGTTTTTTCTTCAGTATTTGGCGGGCAACGGTACGGATCATCCCTGTACGGATAATTCCATCTGTATTCAT